TCAGTCCCGCACACAACCGGATGCTGTTGTTTCAAAGAAAGCCCATCTGATAACATGTTTATATCATATAACATAACTCGTAGAAGATAACTTGATTAACAGGAGGGGGAAAGGTTTCGTTTTTTAGGGAAGCGGTATGAAGACACTAGACGGTAGTGAGCCTCAATCCATGTAGGAAGCGAACACGGTGAGGCTCACAACGAAGTCGTTCTCTACGCACTGTACCGATAAGTAGTCGTCAAAATCTTTGTTCCAGAGGCACTTGGAGGCAACGAGCATGGAATGCTTGTTGTTATCAGCAACCACACAGAACACAACGTACTTGTATCTAAAATGAAAACAAGAAATAATGATGATATACCTATGCAGTTGGTTTGTTTGGTTTTTATGTGTGTTCGAGATAACGACAGCCCATAGTGGATTGTAAATTAGATAAGTTTTGATGATTTACTTAAAATGCACCAATACGGTGTTTTACAGCATGCAGGTGCACGAATGTCCTTATCACTTGAGGGAAATATTCGCATCCCAGATATGTGTATAGATCGAAAAGTAAAGCGTGTCGATCACCGCAATCATAGTTATATTATTCTTAGCTTTCGAACTCTTGCGGGAGTCCATCGTCAGAGATAAAATGGTTAACAAGAAAGCACATTTTCAGTAGGGCAGGGCCCAGACCACCGTCGTGGAGGTGGGACAGAAGGGGAAGGGACCAATTTACCAACAGTACCACGATTTGCTTGTTTTTCTTTGATACTGTTACCTCTGACGACGGACTCCCGCAAGAGTTCAAAAGCTCGGACTACTTAAACTATCATTTCGGTGATAGTCAGTACTTTTCGAATTTGATTATCTCGGTTCGGATGAACATCGTTCTAACTCAACACATATTCACCACAAGTCCTTGGTTTGAGTTTATATTTTCTATCTCGTATTCGTTAGTCGGCGCTAAAACCACATGTTTGGCGGCCACAGGAACGAGCATCACGTGGCAAGTGGACCGCACAGGCGACGCTCTTTTGTATCTCTAGAGAGGCAAATTAAGGTTGCATCTTCCGCGCTGTAAACAAAGAGATATACATATACTCCGCTATGCGTCGGCGGAACGTGGAGTCTGGAATAACTTCTTCGTCTTGTCGCCCTACCTTACGTGAATGTGTAATTGGCGTTGGCGCCTCTGTTGAATCCCGCCAAGGCCGCAGTCATCCCGACTGCCGGCACCCTGTATGTTTGTCGCTCAGTGACCTGAGCGACATCTAACACGCCCAGTCTCGCCTGCGCCCACACCAGGCCGACACACACAAGATCTCAAGGCGGTGGCTGTTGGCTAGGCGACACTTGGTATTACGTCCAGAGGGACGGACGCAGCAGATAGTGTCGTTGTTCGTTGTGACGACACCGTGCTCTCACACGGTCCTTACAGTCGCACA